GCTAGCACTATAAAACTGCCATATGTCTGTATAATAAACATAATACCTGAAATTTACCTCAGATTTTAGACACAATAACTGAAAATAAATAAGAAAGAATAGCCTTAAATCATTAGTCCCGTTAGTCGCCTTTTACGACAAGCATAGTCACCTTTTACAGCAAGTATGGGTTGCTGAAGACCTATTCTACCCCGGAATCCTCACGGGTCCCCTCCATTCTGAAATGCATTAGCTTTCTCTATTTCTACCCCAAATGTTTTGTACTAAAGTACTGCAACTCTGCATTTTTATAACCTACAGTTGTACATGTCATTAATACATAAAGCATGCCGACATTGTATGAGGAGAAGAATCTTCTCATAAATATAAGCTTCCATTGTGATGCGCTGGTCGAATAAGCTGTATCAGTGAGAGGTGGTTATTGTGATTTGAAGCCTCAGAATTTAGTATTGATAAAAGCAATGGTAGAATAACATTTTAGTATCTTTAACGAAACACAGTTTCGTAAAAGATCCCGCGGAGAGTTTTATATTCAGTTTTGGTTATTTGCCGCGAAACTAAAATTCGTTCCCCGTCTTGCAACGTGATTTAATATTCATATGATGACGAAAAGCTATTTTACTCACCATGAAAGCAAAAAAAGAATTCTGTACGAAATTGACTGGTTTATGTAGACTTTTAATATATTTCTAATGTTTCTCAAAATATGTACATGTAAGCTGTATTCGTCAATTAATTGGGTTTTGTTAGAGCAACATAATAATGAGTTTTCTTAAAATTAAATACAACAATTCATGTTTCGCCATATTAATGGTCAATCTCATTAAAATCAGACCTTAGTTCTCGCTACCGCTAAACAAAGATCTGAGGCCATCCCATTACGGGTCACGTCAGACCGACCTTGCGCGAACTTTGACCGACCAATGGAATGACCAATCAGAAACCAGCTTTCTCGTGCTTTACGGCACAAATTTCAAATTCGCGACTACGCTTCGAAACACATTTTGACAAATTCTCGATTTCAAATTTGAAACCTGAACAAAAAACATTCTGCAATGACTAATAGATGGTCTAGAATGTAAGGATTCAGTCGTTAAACCCGTAACTATCGTTCGGAATACCCCATGTTAAAGTTTTTGAGATTGCAGGATTAGAAATCACATTCCGACAGTCATGTTCATAATCTGGTAAGCGACGCACTGATTGGTCGGATGAAAGGTCGTTCTGTCGTGACCCGTAATGGGATGTCTTCAGATCTTTGTTTAGCGGCAGCGAGAACTAGGATCTGATTTTAATGAAATTGTATTAATGGTTTACATGAAAGATTGAAATGCCCTTAAGCCCTAGTATGATATACAATCAAACCTAGATACTCACTTGAATATCTAGCACGACGTCCTTGACAACCCTAACCTTCCCATCTTCCGCACGACGTGGAACGTACACGGGGGCGTTCTCGTCTACATCTACGTTCTTCCTCAGGACCAACCTGGTGGTATTACTGCCTGTTCTCACCTCCGCTGTGATAACGTCTGGAAGGCTGCCTGACGATGTGGTCCGGGGATGGAGGAATTTAATGTGACTCGTGAGTCCTACAATTCGAAAAAAATGATAATCACTTGAGTGTATGTTGTCCTGCGCCAAAGTCAGAAGTACCAGGCAATATCACTTCGTCCTGTAAGGAAGAGTTTCAGCCAAACAGCTGCAAGCCATCGGTTGTCCTTATTGTAAAACAAGTTGTTTTTTTTATCTCAGTAAGTGTATACAGTATGCATCAGTTATATACTATGTAATCACATTTTAAAAGCATGTTGAATTGTAAAGAATGTATGGTATGAGGTAATTCATATTCAACATATTGTATTTTGTTAAATTCGTTCAATTTCTCTCGAACGGCCATATGATATGGCCACAAAATTTTCTTCTTGTATATTATCCCTAAAAATTCTCAAGAATGCATCTTGGTGAATTTCTTTTGATACTTGAAATGTAGACAGGATGATATTATTCATAAAATCATAGCGAAAATAGCAGCAAGTGTGATGACGAAATGGTCTGATGTACATTCGGGAAGAATTTCTGCATCAGTTGAAACGTGAGATGAATGATGAAGACCAGAAACCAGTCGTGGGTGCTGGCTTTGGTTACTGCCACCATGCATCAACTACATTGAAATTATCCATTTTTGCATTTTTATCATCAACAATTGTTGTCAGAATTTAGGGTTGCTAATATGTATTTAGGTCTCCAAGAACCTTAGCTTGGTTTGATTCCATATTCCAGTCCTAACATAGTACAGTAAAGTACGGTTATAACGAACTCAAAGGGACAACAAATTTTGGTTCGTTTTAACCGTAGTTCGCTATAAGCATATATACAGCATAACTACAGCAAATAGTCGGGACCAAAAAAGTAGTTCGTTATATCCGTCAGTTCGTTATAAGCGTGTTCGTTATAACCGTAGTTTACTGTACAATATATTCATTTTCAAAGTTATCTATTTTCTCAAACATGGAGTTGTAAAATGTAATGTTGTCAGTATTTGGACCATATATATTACCTAAGGACAATCTTGCTCCATCAATAGTTATGTCAACAATGATAAAGTTTTTATCCTTTTTATATTTAGGTATATCCACTTCAACACTATTGTAGAATAATATCGCTACCAATCTTGCATTGGACTAGCGTTGGGGTGGTTTTAATTATACTCTTTAATCCCAATTCGTTCCTTATAGTGGTTTCTTCATTGCTAGAAATATGGATGTCATGCAGGCATATCATTGTTGCCTTCCGTGTTCGCCAAATATTTATTATCTATTTTCTCATATTCTTGTCGGTTAGGTCCCTACAGTTTGCAGGTTTTTTTTATCTTGTTATTTATGTGTGTGTGTGTGTGTGTGTGTGTGTGTGTGTGTGTGTGTGTGTGTGTGAAAATAGACAATAACCTAATATGAAACAATAGATCAATGTGGTTTGCTGAAATAGAGGGGATGGTAGTGATGCTATGTATGCACTATGTGTTATATTTGGTGTTTTCCAGCACATGTTATTTTTTTAACACGCGTCATAGGTCAAATCAGGCCCAAATGTTAAAAGTAAAAGGAAATTTGTTATATCATTTTAATCGTGTCAGAACTTTCCACTGTTAAGTGGGTCTAATACATTTATGAAATTTAATCATAACACTGCAAAATCAGTAAGATTTACAGTAAGATTTGTAACATTAAATACATATGATGTGAATAGTGCTGAACCAGGCTCTATACCTTACTGCGTGTACACTGACCAAAAAAATGGATTTGTCGCTTTTATGGAGTAATTGGGTCAATTATATTATGTTATTCCATCATAACACAGCAACATTTATTTACTGTAGGACTTGTAACATTAACTATAGATGATGGTGAAAGTGTTGTGACTAGTTTAGTTGTATGTCTGTAGTATATATAAACCGAAACATAGTAACATAATGGTAACATTGAGCACTAAATAAATAAAAAGATAAAACAAAAGACCCGACAAAGGTGTGACAATCCACTCCCATCCCCACCAACATTCAATGTGACGGTATCACTATTCCTAGAGAGCTTACTGAAGTCATTTTTATAGTTTCAATAATATAGTATATTATTTTTACCAATCCCCAGTGCATAATTATCTAAAGGTTCTGTAGTCTTGCTATGTACGCATGATGAGTTATATAAATTAGTTCCACAAATATGTAATATTTGAACATAACATGTCGAATCATGACCGAAAGCTAATGGTAACACAGTGTATGTTAATAGTATAGGGATGTACAGTGACAAAAGATTAACAGATTTGTCAACTGTTTAGAAGGGCTTCTTGGATGTTATGATATTCCTTTAATACTCGGCAAAATCTATTTTACGTGAAACATGAAACATTGAATAGGGATAATGATGTGGGTGTTGTACCTGACTCTATACCACTGCATCAGGCATACAGGTGTAGTAAATGAATGAATGAATGAATGGTTTGTTTGTTTATTTGTTGTTAAACGCCGCACTCAACAATATTCTAGCTATATGACGGCGGTCTGTAAATAAGCGAGTCTGGACCAGAAAATACAGTGATTGACATCATGAGCATCGATCAACGCAATTGAGATACGATGACATGCATCAACCAAGTCAGCGAGCCTGACAACCCGATCCCGTTAGTCGCCTCTTACGACAAGCATGGGTGAGCTATTCTAACCCGGATCTTCACTGGTCGAATGAATGAATGAATGAATGAATGAATGAATGAATCCTCGTCCGCATTGTTAGGTTAACGAGTAATTGGTTTTAGTATCTAGAGAGTAGTCTAATCTACAAAACTAATCCTTAAAGAACATATCAGGCAATATTCAACGCAAACGCAAATGTTTTTTTTGTTTTTTCCTCTTTTATTGTTGTCGTTATTGCTATTGTTTATTCGAAATTCTACAATGTGTTTTTTACAGCATATGGTAATGTATACACCATACGCTCTAGTGATCTCAATTATTTGTCGCGGTTAATGTATTCATAAAGGGTGACCTACATAGGCTGGTTATATTATGACAACACCACTGCAAGTGTAAATGTTCTGCTAATAGTTGGGATCGAACCTTAATTTATGTTCTGAATCCACACTTCTGTCCCGACTGATACAAACATCTCCATCAATTATTATTGTCAATGACCTTTACAAATAAACAAGCTGGGCAAATTCTCACCGGTACCTTGTATCATATCATGGGTACAATTCCCCTTTTGTTTGAATTCACAAAATTTAGAATTGAAAATGAAGAACCAACCAAATATAACGTGGGACGTTGCTAATAATGTCAATCTCTGGATTGACTGGTCGAGTTTCGATAACTTTCAAGCCACCGTCATGTGGCTGCAATATTTCTTTAGTGACGTGCGGCGTTAAACATCAAACAATCAAACAGACAGAATATCTCAAACTATTGGGATAGAACTGAAAGCGAGTGTTAAAAACGATACCTTCAACATCGACATTTCTGTAAATGTGCTTCATACCCTCGTTCGAAACAAACAACTGGACAAATCCGATAAACATCAGCTGAATCTTAAATCCTGCCATCTTTGTGTTAGTAAGGTGTGTGGTCGGAGGGCTGCACTGACACGTCTTCTGGGGCCTTGCTATGCCCAGGCACCTAATGTTGACGTTACATCCGGGTACACCGTCCCCATTTTGTAGGCAACCCGAGCAGGTAAATTCATTCAGTGTTTCTCTTTAACAAAGCGGCTAAAAAACAGGATGCGCCAGACTAAACTACAGTGAATGCGTGTATCTTCTTTCATAGCAACAACACACAGAGTACATATTGATCATGTTTAAATACCGTTAAGGGTACTAAGTCGTAAATGCGGGTCTTAACCAGCGGTTTATGATTCTCTAACATCAGTTACAACTTACGTTTGAGTTAAAATATGATTAGAGCGCCTCACCATATAGCGATGAGCTTACTACTTAAAGGAAATTTACAGTAAACTATATATACGGAAATAAATCATTCATGAAGCATATTGAAACATGTATCTTGAAGGAAAGAATTCTAAAGGAAATATCTTGGACAAAAAACGTTAAAATTTACTCGTATCCCGTTTATGTACACCAAAATTATGCCAATATATAACCTTTGCATGTTTTCTGATCAATGTGCATGGTCCCTTGTAATTGTTGTACGAGTTTGGTTAGTCATGAGTTATATACTGAACCAAATTAAAAACTTCACAATCCTTAAATTTTAACAATTTGACCAGTTATCATTGTGGGCCCATATTGTGTATTTAAACAGTAATGGCCACGTTTTGTCTTCAGATAACACCCGTTTTTGTGCAGGTGAATCGATCAAAATCATGTGCACAGCACTATAGTGGCAAAAGTGGTTTTTCACGTGCAACTGGTCACGTGGCCATAATACCGCACGTGTTTTCAGCCATTCTTTATAGCAGTCATTAACAAAAAAAGAAAAACACAAGAAAACAAAAGTCTTTACGGCCATTTTCATGTCACGCCTTTCAAATGTGCAACGTGAACGTGCCATCAGCATGTTGCAGACGGGACGTCCGTAGCTGAAGTCGCAAGGACGATGGGTTGTCGCCGACGGACTGTTTATGATTTACAGACGCGTCTACAGCAAACGGGTACCACCGCTGATCGCCCTCGGCCAGGTCGACCACGTCTGACGTTACATGCAGAGGATCGTCAGATTGTCTTACGTCACCTCCGTAACCGATTTTTGACGGCTACATCAACCAGAAATGAACTGTTTAGGGGTAGACTGAGTGCGCAACCTGTTCGAAACCGTCTGAGAACTGCTCACCTTCAAGCACGACGGCCATACTGCGGGCCAATTCTGACTCAATAACACAGACGTCAACGTCAATTGTGGGCACAGAGACACTTACGATGGACTCAGAGGAATTGGAATCAAGTCGTCTTCAGTGATGAATCCGGACTTAATCTTCGATTTTCTGATGGTAGGGCGAGGGTGTGGAGGCGCCGTCATGAACGTAACGCCCAGTGTTGTGTACAGGAAGTTGACAGATTTCGAGGTGTCATGGTGTCAAGTGTCATGGTGTGGGGTGCTTTCTGTGGCAATGCACGTTCCAGGCTTCTTGTCATCCGTGGCAACCTCAACGCTGCTGCTTACCACGACCAGGTACTGGCACCAGAACTTCTGCCTTTTATGGCAGCACATGGACCCGGTTTGATCTTCCAACACGACAATGCCAGACACCACACAGCAATTTTGACAAGGAATTTCCTTCAGAATGCGGGAGTCAACGTCATGGTCTGGCCGTCAAGGTCTCCCGACCTCAATCCCATCGAACACGTCTGGGTTGCTCTTGGCATCTCTCCAGAACCAACCACAGAATTTGCAAGATCTTGGCACCATTTTGCAGCAACAATGGCGTCGTCTTCCCAATTATGTGTTCACAAGCATCACAAGGTCCATGCGGAGGCGTTGTGTGGCATTTGTCAACGCACATGGTGGCAATACACGCTACTGAACTTGTGTGCCGTCAGGTTCTCGTGCTTGGGACTTATGATTTAAACTGTTGATGTTATTACCGAATACCGTAGGTGCTTGGAACAAATTATGGTTACCACCGTTAATTAACATCCTTCTTTGGACATAAATGATTAAAAATTACCTTCTCTGACACATTTGTCCGTTGTACATTATATATGGGATTATTTTTTAAAATGTGAAGTTTTTAATTTTGCTTAGTATATACATCTTCCCGAGGCAAGGGCTGGAATTCCTGGGCTCGATCGTAGCGCCACCAGTGGTTATTACGAGTTATGTTCCTTTTCTAAGGCTCTCCTATGGACCAATCAGATTCCACCTCTCGTATCACTTGCATTTGTTTCAAACAAAATGGTGGCGCCCAGTCAAAACGATCTAATTGATAATCAAGATCTATATTGTGGTAAAACGGGTCTTACAAAGCGAAGTGAATCAAATCACGTGAGCACCTTGATTAAAAACATGAAAAGACTTGGAAAATATCTGTTGACAACGAGTTGGCGGTGCATATGCTTTGCAAATCCTACAATCGACAGAAATCTGCACGACATTTTACAAACCGGATTTCGATTTCGGTGCGCGATTTTGATGCATAGACTCTTTAGCCCAGCCAAAATGTAACTCCGTAATACCAGCCCAGTTCGGCAAGGGGGGAAACTGGACTTTTATTGTCAGTTAACTCACTTGCCTCGGGAAGATGCAGTATATATTATGTAACAATGAATGCTAAATTGATCATAGACAGATGCCTCAAACTTCAAGAATCACAAAAAGGCATGTCCAGTCCGTTTCCATTTTCCTTCTTGCTGACATCGCTTTATCCAAACTTTCCTCCTCGCTTAATCGTCCTTTTGGTTTGGAAATATCACGAAAAGACACTCGTACTTTTGTATGATGAACCAGTACATCCCACGCCAACACAATACCCAATTGTGCGTCTTCAATACGCCGAGAATAACGGAAAATCACTTCATCGCCATGGAGATTAATGCACTGTAAACGAAACAAAATGGCGGATGTCTCTGCACTATGACGTCACAGCTACGGCTGGACCTCCAGCTAGGATTTCAATATGCACTCGCTCTTGTAGTGAGATCAGGGCAGTTGTTCGTTGCTTTTTAGATAACTATAAAATCACATATGTTTTTTGGTGTAAATATGGACTTTGTAAGACTCTTTAACATGTTATTAAAAGTGTGTTTTTTTCCAATAGATTTGCTTGATGCATATCACCGTATACCAATTGCGTAGATCGATCTCATGATGTCAATCACTGGATTATCTGGTGCAGATTCGATTATTACAGACCGTCGTCATATTATTCAAATTCACAAAGGATGACGTGAGAAAGGGGCTTAACACATTGTATGTATTCATGTATTAATCGAACCTTGGTCTGTGACGAGCGAACATTTTAACCAACTTGAAACTTACAGTGGAACAATGCTGCTTGGTAGGTTCAGTACTAACTCATCTGCAGGTGAAGTTGATTAGTCCTTACTCATCTGCAGGTGAAGTTGATTAGTACTTACTCATCTTCAGGTGAACCGTGTACTTGCTCAGTTTCAGGTCATCTTAGTACTGAATTCATCTTAAGGTGAACTTAGAACTGGCTTCATTTTCAAATGAACTTTGTACTTGCTCATCATCAGGTGAACTTTGTACTTGCTCATCTTCAGGTGAACAAGGTACTTGCTCATCTTCAGTGGGTGTTTGTCAAAATATTTAAGATGCATTCTTTTTAAGAAGCTACAGTTACAATAAAGACGGAGTTAACGGATTTAAACCCTTTTTATATCAATGCGACGGCTCGGTTACCTTTATGAAGCAAGTGATAAACACCTGAGTAAGACATGGTTGTATAGCTAAAAATTACACATACAGAGATTAACAAAAACAGCAACCAGACAAGGGTGACAACAAAGTGATGACAGAGATGGAGTTTAGAGATGAGGCATGCAACATTGATGTGGATGCGTGTTTGTCATTGAGGTCAACAGTTATGCTCGAGCAGCATATATAAGGACGCTTGTGTCGTGGTTTGACTTCGAATGTCAATTACAAGTGTCGTTTGCTTGATTTTTTGTTTTTCTATTCGTTGAGCTCGAGTATTTGGTTTTGTGTCTAAGATAGATAGAGAACTCGTGACAGTCATAACCTGGATAAAAAGGTGTAGCTTCGAGAACAATTCGGTTAGACTCCGCCACGTCCTTTGTTCTCAACAGCTGTACCACATACCTATGACATAATGATACCTGTCCAATCTGTGACAGATTGAGAGAGATTAGAAGAAGAAAAGTATCCTATTAATGTGTTGCACTTAGCATTTACAGTGTTTAAACGATAATAGGTGAATCAAGCAGTCCAGCCTCGTGAGGCTTACGAGACACAAATGTACATAAAAGTATTACTATTAATATAATGTATATACTTGTGTAGAATATTACACACAAAATGATTGAACTAGAGCATGAGTAACAATTGAGATACACGAAGGAATATATTATATAGTAATAGAAGGGAGAGTAGCACTTTGGAAGAATTACTTCTGCGTTTGTACAGATATGCGGCAGAGATTGTCATTTACCATTACATAACATAATTTATCAATAGTTCAATTGATAGAAACAGTGTCTCGAAGAGAATTTTTACAGAAGAGATTTTAAATGACATTCGTCTTCAACAATGTTTAAATTGCAGTGTTTACATATGCAGTTCTGTAACGGGGTAACAGGGAGGGTAAATTTCAATTTGCATATAAGGCCATACAACTCTACATTGCAAAAGCACATCGATGTTAGTCTTTGATCCACAACGTCATTCCACATATACATCGCCGCCATTGTATACTTGACATCCTTCCACGAGCTCCTGGACTCACATCCTCCCACGAGTCTGGGCTCACATCCTTCCACAAGCCTGGACTCACATCCTTCCACGAGCTCCTGGACTCACACCCTCCCACGATTCTGGGCTCACATCCTTCCACAAGCCTGGCCTCACATCCTTCCACGAGCCTGGACTCACATCCTCCCAACAGCCTGGACTCACATCCTTCCACAAGCCTGGACTCACATCCTTCCACGAGCCTGGACTCACATCCTTCCACGAGTCTGGGCTCACATCCTTCCACAAGCCTGGACTCACATCCTTCCACGAACCTGGACCTCACATCCTTCCACAAGCCTGGACTCACATCCTTCCACGAGCCAGGACTCACATCCTTCCACAAGCCTGGACTCACATCCTTCCACAAGCCTGGACTCACATCCTTCCACGAGCCTGGACTCACATCCTTCCACGAGTCTGGGCTCACATCCTTCCACAAGCCTGGACTCACATCCTTCCACGAGCCTGGACTCACATCCTCCATAAGCCAGGACTCACACCCTTCCACAAGCCTGGACTCACACCCTTCCAAAAGCCTGAACTCACACCCTTCCACAAGCATGGACTCACATCCTTCAACGAGCCTGGACTCACATCCTTCCACAAGCCTGGACTCCTGGACATCACATTTTGTCCGCTTTGCATTTCAGTTGTTAATCTGTCGTCCAATCTATATCGTCTCTGGGTTGAGATCCTGGCATATATTTGCACAACATCCACAAGTAATTTTCTGTTTTGTCCAGGACACTGCACACTAATCACGTAATTATGTGGTTATGGGTTGGCTAAGGGGGGATAATCCAGATGAGTTGTGCTACAAATTGTTCACTTCTCCTAAAGGTTGCGGTTGTCCGAATATTGTGAAAAGAGTACTGTTTAAGCGAAAGCCCAAGGTGGTTTTAGAAAAGGTTTCTGTGCTGCAAAAATATGTTATATGAATGACAAAGCGGTTTTGTAAATTTATAGATTTTAAGAAAGAATTTGATGATATATGTAGATTAGTGAGCGAGTGAGTGAGTATAGTTTTACGCCGCTTTTAGCAATATTCCAACAATATCACGGCGGGGGACACCATAAATGGGATTCACACATTGTACCCACGTCGGGATTCGAACCAGGGTCTTCGACGTGACGAGCGAACGCTTTAACCACTAGGCTACCCGACCGCCCCATATGTAGATTAGGATTGTGTAGTAAATCATTGAAGTTTGGGGTAAATGGAAATTTCTTAATGTATTATATGTTTCAAGGTATAAAATCGTGTGTTAAGAGCGCAAGTATGTACTCAGATGTTTTCCTTTGTAATACAGAACTAAGACAAGGGGAATAAACCTTTTTCCTATTTTTGAATGATATGGAACTATTTTCATTTGCACATTGTAAAGGAACAGAATTAAGTGCACAATCAATGAATATTTTAACATGTATTTCTTGTACTAATATTGTTACTCTACGCATACGACACCATATCACTCGCAAAGACATATCAGGTTGGGTGTAAAGGCGTCTAATGCGAAATTAATTATATTTGGTGGTATTAATATATTCTTAGCAGCAAATATCATTCATTTTGTTTTATGACAGAGAATAATATTTGCAAGTAGATTGTGAAACAGCTGGTAAATATAAGTATCTTGGTATCTTTTTTCATAGATTAAATAAATTCAACATAGCAAGTAGACCGACAACAGGGGCCAATTATTTGAGAAAAACGTGTCAATGGTTGTGCCGATTTTACTGGATGATGTGAAATATGGGGATTTGCAAAGTTTGCAAATGTATTGAGAAGGTTCATTTGGATTTTTTCGCAAACCTCTTCCTTTGCAAAACAGCACTCAATCATATATGAAAAACGGTGAACTTGGCAGACAGCCATTATATATCCAAACATATGCACGGATGGTGTCATTTGGAGAAATGTGTGTGTGTGGGGGGGGGGGGGGGGGTGGGGGGGGGGGGGTGGGGGGTGGATGTATGTGTGTGTCTGTGTGTCTGTGTGTATGTGTGTGTGTGTGTGGATGTGTGGATGTGGATGTGGATGTGTGTGGATGTGTGGATGTGTGTGTGTGCGTGTGTCTGTGTGCGTGTGTCTGTGCATGTACTCAGATTATCTCAATCTCTGTGTTCTACTCCAAATCCCCATGCTTTCATGTCTTGTGATATTTGTAATTGTCTCATTTTTGGGTCGATCCTATACTGCCACATGTGCTACTAAAATAGCATTACAACAATCTTAGTTCTCGATCTCTGACCCAAATGCATATGTAACTGTGCATTGTGTGCAATTATGCAAATTACCACAATATCATCTTGTCTTTTTGATGCAATATCATAATCGCTAAAACTGTACATGGCGTCTTAAAACAAGTTGTGTGTAATGAATAAAATTTAGCACCATCATAAAGTTGTAGTGAAACGATCCTCGCTTTTCTACATCTTCGAGGGGATAGCAGCATTCTTTTAGACTGGCTTGTCGAGAGTGTTGTTGTTAGCTTAGTGTGGCATATACTGTCCAGCGTTTCTTTCGTCACAATGTGGCGTGCTTCAGTAAGGTGACCTGCTGATAATTGACTTCGACTCTGAGGTCACATCTTATGTCCTTGGACTTGAGACAGGTGGTGCAACCTGATTCTATCACTAAAATAGGGTAGCCTTCACTACAATAGGGTAGCCTTGTGGTTAAAGCATAAGTCGTGATATTGCTGGAATATTGCTGAAAGCGGCGTAAAACCATGCTTGCTCACTTACTCACTCACTCACTCACTCACTCACCCACTCACCCATCCGCTCGTCGATCCAAGCATACAACAAAGGAAATACAGTAAACGTTACAGGGAACTTTAAATATTGTAGTGATTGTAAACACTCGATTGTTAATGTTGATGAATGAGGAAAAGATTGTGCCAGCGAATCCATTGCTAGCCTGTATTTGTAGCCAACACATCTAAAATATCAACAAAGGCAGACACTTCACAAACGTTGCTGTCAGCATTGAAATTTAAATAGTGTTCATGCATAACCTAAACTAAAAACAATTATATATCATATTTTATAAATTTGAATATGATGCTATCATCAGAAGAAGCTTACATGTCACAGTTCAGCTTCCTCAACTTGGCAAGTTCAGAGAAAAAGACGTTTGCAGAAGGGGAAACGTATTCTGTTTAAGCATACTCAAAAGGGTCAAAATAAGGTCAAATATCGTGAACATCGATTCCAATTACCAGGTAAAGAGATTCCCAATTTTAAAATAGTAAGAACAAATAAAATAGAATAATGGTCCTAAGTAGCGTTCTGTTTCAAATATGGCTGCCGTAGTGGCCATATTCAAAATAGGATCTGAACCTCTTTAACAAAGCCAAGTCTCATCATTGGCACAATAAGCATGTGAAGGTCAGTTTCTTGGTCCTGTGCTGGTTAGGAGGGTGGAGTTCAGGAAAGCTATGGTAGGCGGACAAGCAGATTATGACACTACTTTCGCTCAGGTGAGCTACAAATGTGTTGCCTTCATATGTCTTGTTATTTTAGCAAAAGTAATGTTGTGATGTTATGTGTTTAACTGTGCTTTAAAAGAATTTGTCATTGTATCCCAATTGCTCATGATGTCAATCACTTGATTGTCTTGTCTAGACTATTTACAGACCGCCGTCATATACTTTGGATATTGCTTAGTGCGGCGTTAAACAACAAAGCAACAACAACATTTTAAAAGAATAATGCATGCAGTTGTTATAAAACAACTGTAAGGTAAAGGCGACTGGTCCTACTCTAATCTCCTGCAGCTGTCAGATAAGTCCGCTCCGCCACCGACTGACAGCATCACATGCTACGAGCTTTGACCTAGTGGGTGGTATTCAATATGGCGGCCGGATAGACCTGTCGAAACCAGCTCCCTGAAGCTGATCTTGAGAGGGTGAGGTATGCAACTCTTGTAACTATTACATTGTGTAGTGGTTACTTTTGTATATATTATTGTAACACTCTGGTGGCAGAGATTCCGAATGAATTGTGTTCAACATTTTGTATGGCGATGATGCACATGAGTCACACTATCACCCTTTTTTCGCCAATTCATCCTGACAACCTCTCGAATTACGTATTTTATGAGCAGGGGTTGTAACGTTCAGTGTCATATCAATGTAACCATGGCATCCGTTTGATCAGTCAGGAGAGAGTGGTGGACTGACCTTCCTATTTGTATCCTGGTTGAAATTGTATTTTAATCTTATGAATTTTAAAAAAATAACTTAAACAGGAACAGACTTTCCGCTGAAAATTGGATTTAGGTCATTTCAGTTTGCAAACAAAGCAGATTGTCCATTGTACAAAATGTACAAATTTTAGTAGCCTGCATAATACACGCTGCCTGAGGGTACTCCGTTCTCACTCAGTTTGTATTCATCAACCAGGAAGTATTTTACCGGGGCATATCAACATGACGGCGGGGTACGCTTACATTGAAACCACTCCCGTGAAGCTCAATATCTAGGCGGAGCTTGTCAGGCAGGCAGGCAATAACACGTCCAGCAAGTAGATCATACTGTTGTGGTCATATTGAATGAGGGTTTGCCCTGTGTTTTTGTATGTGTAGACATTTCAAAGTTCTTAACCATGATTTACCTTAACTGTACTGTTCCAAGGTTGTAAACTGTCAGCTTTACCCAATTAACAATTGATTTTATGTTTCAGTGTCATGTCAATGTAATCACGCTTCATTGACCACAAACAGGTATAGAATAGACCCGTGAAACTGGTGAAATGAACTTTTGATAGATTCCTTGCCAACCAGGTTTAAAATATGGACTAAACAAAAAATCACATTTATAAAATCGACACCTATTTTTTCCACTGAATATTGGATTGCAAAGGACATGTAAGTGTAGATATTAGAAACTGTAATTGTATCCTTAAGACATACTAGCTCCATTCGATAAACTGACATGCAAATAAAAACGATTGGATGGAAATAAGACCGCCGATGAAGTATTGAACAAGTCGCATTTGGAATAATAGTATATGAATTATCTTGCTTCGTGTAGCAATATTCAAGCAATAATATGGTGTGGAACACGTACATGGGTTTCACATATTGTACCTAGTGGGAATCGAACCCAGGTTTTCCTCACGATGAAACAATGCTTTATTTGTTAGGCTACATTGTCATACCGTTTGTAGGCTCAGTTCATACGTCTTTGTTAGTCCTTAATAACTATACCGCACAGGTATGGTCCTGTTCTTTCGTAAATGTTATTTTTGCTCTGATCTTTGCAGAAATGCTTTCTGAGATAAACCGTTCAACATGCAACGTAATGATGAAGCAAAGTTGTTGTCAACAACACCAATAACAGCAGGGTCAACAGCAGCAACAGGATCAACAACATCAACGGAGGCAAAAGGGTCAACCACACAATCAACAGTGACAGCCTCAGCCCCATCAACAGCAACTATTACTCAAACAGTAACAGACGAGGCTAACTTGCCCCAAGATGACCCGACAACAGCTCATGGCTCCCCTGAACGTAACTAATTCTTTTTTATGGCAGATAGTTATGCATGCGTTTCCTTTCAATGCTCGTGACTGTTTTCACTGTAAGGACATCAACATAAATGATGACAGCAGTCATATTGCTTCTATAATTTTTTAACTTATCCTGCATTACTCCGTAGTGCATTGACTGCTGTCTTTGACAGAAAGACGAACTGTTTGAGATCCAGCTGCTGGAGAAAGTTGTTTCCATCTGTACAGGAAGCAGCGCCCCCTCCCACACAGTCGGCACGTGACCCGGAAGACATGACGTCACGTCAAAACACTTAACTGCTTTGTCAGCCACACGGAACGGACGTATCTGTATCCCTCGTGGAAATATTAAAAGCTTTTTATGATCCTTACTTTGTGTTGTTAACTACGACAAAAGTCTGCTGTGTTGTTTCTTGTATATGGTTTGTTACCTTTGGCATCATTCTATTGTTCATTGGTAACGTTTCTCGCTCCTTTTGTGGCTATCGTCGCGGTATTTACGAGCGTATTGTTGTTTCCCGCCATTTTGGTTTTCCCGCCCTTTTGCGATTCACCACGTGTCCATGTATTTTCATGTTTTGCGTTTTGAATTCGCTCTTTGGTGGGAGTTTACATTAAATTAAAATGTTTGTATTTGGCGTGTTTTACGCGTAATTGTTTGCTCTTATATACTTTGTAACAGAAAAAAGTTATGTTACGTTACATTATGCTTCACGTTGTGTGTTTGCGCATCGTTATGCTTTTGCTTAAATTCCAGAATACCTCGCTGCTCTAACTGCCGCGGGAATAAATCTGGACGGGACCCCCACCCCTGCTGCCTGGACTGTACAACCCCGTGTACCCTCACAGAGCAGTGCAGATACTGTAGTCCCCTGTCGCCAGTCTCCTTCACCGCCTACCTACGAGTGTCTCGGAAACGCTTCAATCAACGTGTGCGTCAACACCCCAACATGCCATCCAACGTAGAGTCTGCCTCCCACGGCACGACAAACGACCGTTCACGGTCTCCCACACCACCCTTACCGTCACCTGCTTCGATCTCATCCTCTTCGGCATCGCCCGTAACGGGTTCACCGTCATCTCTGCCATCTACGTCGACAACCTTGACTACTCCGGCGCTTCCGACTGCTCCGTCCTTATGGTCATGCCCTCCTGTCATCGTTTATGGATCCATCTGGGATGCAAGCTTGGATGCAGTCCTTGTTTGCGCATCCTACTCCCGCCTCAGCGGCGCCGACAGTGCCTCCTGCAACGCTGCGCCACTGATGGCCCCGACTATAGACACTCCGATTCCTGCGTCCCCCTCTACTTCGGGTGCTTATCGGTCTCTATCGTCGTACGACTCGTCGCCTCCGACTGCCTCTCGACACTCGTCCAAGTCCTCTCGATCCCGTCGTCGTTGTCGTAGTCGTTCACCTATACATAGACTTCGACATAGTTCATCTCGTTCGGCCACATCAGACGGATCATTTCGACCCGATTATGACCCTCCATCTCCCGAGATTGATACTCACTTGGGCCTATCACAGGTTGCTGATTGGCTACGGACCGTTTGACCTCCGTCGCTTCCTCCCCGGGCCCCGATGTCGACAAAAAATCTACGATATGGTCTAACCCGACTTCGCTACCACCCGACCCAATACTGACAGACCTTGTTACGGCGTTGGACGAGGACTTCGCAAGGTTGTCCCTCACGCCGTCGTTCAAGGCTCCTCGTTTCCGACGTGATGATTTCCCTGTCCACTCCTTCGATGTTGCTGACGGTGCGCACATCCTGGACGAGGGCTTACATCGAATGGCCGGGTCATCCCAGTCCGCCACCATACAAACGGTGGACTCCCGACTCCCTTTCGTGGAATCGGAACTGCGGCGTTCAATTAAACCACTGTCTACAATCGCCTCCTATGCCATTGAGTCATTGAGCAAGATCTCTCGGAGTCCAATCCAAACAGGATCGACCACCTACGCACTGTTATGAACTTCCAACTTCGCCAGGTCGACCATTTGCGAAATCATCTGAGAGCCACTCTTGCAGAGATCACCGCTACACGACGATTGGGTTACTTGACTTCCACGAAATGGGATTCCGAATTCAAGCGTTCCTTACTGCGACAACCTTGGTCGGGTCCTACCCTTTTTAATGGTGCCATTTCCGCTACACACGCCCGGGTCTCCAGCTTCGCAAGAGATGAAACGCCTCTCAGAGCCTTGGAGCATGTCACGCACCAATCAGCGGCCAAGTCCTCCAAAGGCAACTACAAACCTCGCCGCTCCTCTCTCAAGGACGTCTCCAAACATGCCCCGCCCTTTCGTGGCCAGAAAGGGCGTGGTCGTGGCAAATCCCGTGGCACCTACCAGCTCCGACGGGATCGTCGCCCCGGCAAGGGTGCCGATTCCACCTCCAAGCGTTGACCGGAGGGACCTCAACGACTGGGACCTCCCACCCCCAGCCGTTCCGGTCACCGACACACCTGTGGGTGGGAAATTAGGCCGGTTTGGGAGAAACTGATCTATACTGGAGGACCCGCTCGTCACAAACGTCCCCCGTCATTGGCCCATTGGCAGAACATCGTCCATTCCGACAACAGGCGCTTACTCGACACACCAAATTCGGCTCCTTCACGACAACATCGACTCCCTGCTTCGGAAGGAGGCCATAGAGATCGTGCACGACCCGGCTTTGGAACCCAGGTTTTTACTCCCCAGTGTTTCTGGTTCCCAAGAAGGGAACCACCAACTGGCGCATGATACACAATCTCTCCACTTTCACCTGGAACGTCCTTCCATTCTTCCGAATGACGACGTTGCGACTGCTCAGGACAAGAATCACAGCAGGCGATTCCCTGATCAGCCTCGACATCCAGGACGCCTATCTTCATGTACCCATCCACCCCAACGACCGGCGCTTCCTCAGGTTCATTTTCAACGGTACCATTACCAGTGGGCGGTCCTACCATTTGGAATTTTCACGGCCCCGTGGCTTTTCACACGGATCACCCGACCGGTCGCCGCCTTCCTACACCTGAGGAACATCAACTTCAATCCATACATCGACGACTGTCTCCTCAACAACTGCGACTCGAAGCTGCTGCTGCGCCACAGAGATTTTACCCTACGGCTCTTCAATCAGATGGGATGGATCGTCAACTATACGAAGTCGGAGCTGACCCCATCATTCCGTCTGCAGTTCATCGGGGGCCTGTTTCTCACGGATCAAGAAAATCCTCGCTCACCTCTTCCCTGCCCTCCAGCAGGCTCGAAACCTCCGTCAATGGCAGGTTCTCCTGGGCCTCCTCACATCGGCTCAAGACCTGACTGCCAGGGGTCGCCTCCAACTCCATCCAATTCAACGGTTTCGCAGCACACGTCGATTAAAAGGCTCTACCATCACCACGTACTTGGTCGCCATCAACTCTGTTTTTGCCATCCTGGACGACCCGAGAATGACGAAGATTCCCGAACGTCAGGCCTTGCTGCGCTCGTTCCGTCTCGAAGACCAGAAAGCCAAGTTCAGACCGCCTTCGTGGGATCTGAATGTGGTCTTAAAGGCTCTTCGGGATGCTCCCTTCGAACCACTCCACTCGTCTTCCTTTTACTACTTAACGAAGAAGACGGTGTTTCTACTGGCCTTGGCTGCTGCCGCCCGGGTTAGTGAGCTCCACGCCCTCGACGTCTCTCGTGTCAGGTTCGAACGCGGGACTCATGGCACCGTTCATCTTGGGCTGTGCTGGGACTTCATCGCAAAGAATCAACTCCCAGGACAGCCTGAAAGATCCTTCTCAATCCCTCCCCTTTCGTCGATTGAAGGTTTTCCTACGACGGTCTAAAGCCTGCCGCAAGTCTAGGAAACGTCTTTTCCTGCCGGTCTCCCCTTCGTCACAGTCGGAGGTCAGCCGGAATACTATCTCCCTGTGGGTCCGGGCGGTCATCCTCCAAGCTTAGAAGGTCGCCGGATCGGACCTCCCCCCCCCCCCCCCCCCCCTCCCCCCCCCCCCCCAGCTCAGAAAGCGATTTTACTACTATTAAAACATCTTGTATGAATAGAAAGGTTGCAGGAGTGCGTATAGCATACTGACATTGCAAAACGTGTATCAGAAGTTTATTGTGTTTTTGAAGTAACGGAATGGACTTTATGAACTTTGAATAAAGAAATATAAGGGTCACATGATATATTCCCAGGGATTAGGTTGGTGAGGTTCGAAATGGCATCTCAATACAGTTGTCCTTTGTCATTCCTAGCTTTAATCATCTTTAACGTGGTCAATGAATACTCGTATGTTCACGACTATTTTGTGTTTAACGGTCCCAATAAAATATGTTATTTTTCATATTTTTCAGCCCGTATTAGCGTCAAAGGAACAGACGGCCAAGGGACGACTGGCCAATCAGTTGCATCTGGGGTGGTACATGGACAGCATATTACCCAAGGTAATACTTGCCTGCTTGCTTGCTTTACGGCATGTATGTCTATCCCTATAAAACCACATACAATTTAATCGTTTTGGAAATGCACCCTTCTTTGTAAGGATCGATGTACAATAGGGATATACACTGTGCTGTGTTTTTAGCCTTGGGAGAAGGCAATTGAGATTAGAGGATTCGAGACTTTCTCTGACTTTCTATGAATTCTATTGAACTAAGGTGTTATATTTCTTCTTAGAGAATTACAATTCGTTTTACCTCAAAGGCGGCCTATGGTAAGGCATGTGGGCAGGACGTCCATCCATCTGGCCATCCGTTTGTGGGTTAACTTGTGTCTTCTCCTAAACTTAATGGATTCACACGTCAGGCTCAGTAGCTTACCCGATTGCATTTCATCGTTGTGTAAATCGTTTCATGGCTGTCGTTATGTAGTGAGTGAGTGAGTGAGTTGGGTTTAACGCCGCTTTTTAACAGTATTCCAGTCATATCACGGCGTGTCAGCTTAATGTGGGAGGAAAGCCCGAAGTGATACAGGTCTCAGACGTTTACCACTTCGGTGAAACCCACGAGCACGAGTATGGTGCTGACAAACCTAGAAACTTAATCGGGGCGAACCGGCATTCGAGCCCACAATCATAGGTTTCTCGCGTACCCTAGGGACGCAACTCTGCACAGCGAATCGCGGCGCCTTAGACGACTGGGCCACCCGTGCCCCCTCGTTATGTAGCTTGAATATTGACGACTACGACGTCAAGCACAACAAATAAGCTAAGTATATACCGAATCAGATATAGTTGCAATCAATTCTTTTGTACGTATTTCAGGAAACACGTACAATATTACCGTTCATCTTTATGGCGCGTCCGGCGAGGGTATGTCCCAAAAGGATCAACCTGGTCCCATCAGCTGTGAGTACCATATTGTCTTAACATGTCACGAAAACAATGTAAACAATGTCCTAAAACAAATGTAAGGAATAGAATAACAAGAAAGTGTGCAGTGAGTTTGTGCTAATTTTATTTTGTGTATCATAATCAATAAATCTCGTTTTCTGTCGTGGGAAATATCAAATATGCACGTAATATCTATGCTGACTACATTTCTTTTTTCCAGTTATAATTAACATGGATGGGTCAGGGAAACTACAGGACATTCAAGCTAGGGAAACTGCCACAACACATAAAGACAAACCAGCCTATGAATCAATTTGGAGCTTCATTACCAAGCCAGTGAACTATGCACTTCATTTTACGTCTTCTCTCTGTTCAGCACTGTATACATTACACGCCTCCGTTGTGGCTCGCTTCAACGGTCGGTTTCAAGGAGCCCGCCCCGGAAGCTTGATATTTGTGTTCCAGCATGACACCTGGGAAGAAGCGGAGGAGATGATGAGACACAAGAAAGATGTCACAGATGTCATTGTACAGTTTCTCCAGGACATAAACTATGGGTTAGAACTACTCGAGTGCGATGTTCAAATTAAAGCACTCAAACAGGCAGCAGAGGACTTACTTGATAAAGGTATAAGACAGAGAATACGTATGAACGGCAACTATTTTAAGCTATGATATACAAGATGGGTGAGACACAATCTTTGTGAATAATTCATTGGCAAAATTTAATGGTTTTTGATTGAGATGTAACTGACATTTGCTGCTGCATAAATCATCAGTCTACCTCGAGAATCAGAGTATCATGAATCTATAGTTTATCATTGAATATAATTCAAAGCAAATCAATAACGAATGAGCACATATATGCATGTTGCCGAATTAGGGGTAAATTAAATTGGTTAGAGAATGTGTTGTATCTTCATAACTTAATCTTGTCACTGTCTATAAAAATAGTTTAAACATTTATAACACACATTTGAATGTGCAGGCCAGTGCAGGAACGTACGTGTGTGTGTGTGTGTGTGTGGGGGTGTGGGTGTGTGGGTGTGAGCGAGCGCGCGCGAGCGTGCATGCGTGTGTTCCTCTGACCAACAACATTTATTTGTAATCGACTAAAAATATCTAAATATTTTTATTCTTTATTTAACTTCACTGACTTCCTTTCCTTTAAAGAAACACCTCTGGAATCATACCATGGAACACTTGACCAAGCATGTGTCAACAAACGACAGGTAATCTTCCACTCAGTAGAAACAATTCAGCACAAATAAGAAAAGCGCTTCTCAGTAGTCAAACTTTTCAAGTTCAGACGTTCCCTAAATGGGTTCAGCGTGTGAAGCTCATGCTTTTATTGATGGAAACAGTTCATAAACATGCACCCCCTACATGTCTATTTCTTTGTTATCAAATGTTGCGTCCGGTGTGTTTGGTCAACACAATTAGCGACCTGTATGAACCTATTTACCTGTATGAACCTATTTACCTGTATGAACCTATTTACCTGTTTTCGGACTAGGTATACAAAGGTATATCAGATATATACACACGCATAACAGAAGCTTCTTGTGTTTCAGCATGATCAACATGTGGAGAGTCTGAACCAAAGAATAGTCACACTGGAACAAGAACTGGCCTTGACCAATGAAAAGCTTGAAAAAATGAAAAATGCACAACTTGCAGGTTAATATAACAAGTTATCATACCTGCATTAAGATACCCGTTTCTGAATGGTTACTATCGTTCCCTATGAACTTATATGACCGACAACATAACAAATTCCATATACCCCACTTGGAAATTCTGAAACGCTTACCAACGCGCCTACAGTGATTTGATTGCTGGTATATTATCACGAACATGAGTTAGTGAGTTACGATTTATAGTCACATCGGCAATATTTCAGCCATATCATATAAACGCCTATTAAATGAAGTTTTAGTGAACTTAAACGAGCACAACAGATTATAATGCAAGTCCAAAAACTCTGGGTTCGTTTACGTCGTCTGTTTGCTGTTAAGATGCTTGCGAAATGGTTTGCTAGCTTTACTGATGAAGACATTTTAGATGACTACAGTGATCCTTTCAACGGATTTTTCTTTTCAGAAACCCGGATGTTCCTGTGGATGAGACCGGCATCTCCTTCATTGACTGATACTAGCGGGCACTGTGAGTGGCTTCCATTATGTGTACTGCCGGTGTCCCGGTATTTATAAACTCTCCCCCGTACAAATTCTCCCCCCGGAGATTTTATACCGGTACAGATTCTCCCCCGGCGAATCTGTTCTGAAATAAAATCTCCCCCGGGCGGATATATTTCGCGCCCCCCCTCAGTATAAAGTCTCCCCCCTGATCATTCGGTTTGTTGCAATGTCTTTAAGTACTATATTCTTTAAATAGTTATCTTTAATGTAAGGAGGGTTACTTTAAAAAATAGATTATGAAATATGGTCATAATGAATTGATATTTCAGAATATTTTATTTGGTAACTGTACCTTCCATCCTAAAATAATTTTAAGACATAATCATACCAAACAAATGATGGGAGACAAGAGTCTCTACAGAGTTTGTTGTTTCTAATACAGTTGTTGTTGTCTGTTTACATTTTTTAATATACCAGTTTGAGTGTACATGTGAACACAATCGATGGTTGAAATGTTAGTCTAAGCACAAAACATGAACCAATTCTCAAGAACTCTGATGTATAAAGTTACCTTCATCTTTGATTGACTGATATATTTTCAATCTTTATTCAGCACTGAAGAGGCCACAGGCCTATAGTACGAAGCATTAAGTTTATGAATAAACTGTTATAAAGTATTCATAAAGTATCAGGGGTCATTTCAACTTGCAAAATGATTGACATAGTCCTTTATATTGTAGAGCGAGGATTGGGCTGTTTTCCCACCCGATTGACTGATATTACAACATTCACATGGTTTAGAATGGTACAATGAATGGTAAAGCATGCAAATTACACTAATACCCGATATTTCATAAGAAAATATCATATCTCCGTTGAAACATAAAACCAATATTTATGAGTCTACATAATGATATGACTTTGTAGCTAGACGACGGGAATCTACAGTCTTGACTGTGTGTTTTTTATTTTTTATGAGAATGTTTCTCACCGACCTTAGCGTGTAGGGGTGTGATGTCCCGGGCAGGAAACGACAGTGTTTTGACTACTCGTCTTTCATTAGTTAACGTGTTGGGCATCCCTAATTAACCTTTACTAATTCATGTTAAACCAACACAGGATGTTTTCTGGAAGTGGACAATCGCGAATGTCATAGGGCTGACACGACACCTGTTAATAACTGTCCTAGAACTTCTTAAGTTACTAAACATTCTTTATATCTAACGACTAATGTTATATCTACAAATATACCACTTTATTGTCTCATATTGCGGTAGTTAAAGAAAACACAGTGCTCAAAGTGAAGCCCTTTTCACTCCACATTCTCAACATCGTCTCTATCAGAAATGTTTGGCAACTATTGAACTGAATGGCAAATATTTATAAAACGACCGGGGGAGGAAATATTCTGGGGGGAGATTTTATTTCGTAGGGTGAGGGAGAGTTTATTTCGAGAGGGGAGGAACTGTACCGGTATAAATTCGCCGGGGGGGGGGGGGGGGGGGGGATTTTATTCTGGAGGCGAATATTTCGTGACACCGGCATATGTCTTTCATAATGTGAAATAAGAGATACCATTATGGTATATACAGCTACATCAAAAACAATCAGCAAGAGTGACTTTTATGAATTAGCAAACATTATTTAAGTCACTATTTGTTGAGCCTTTGGCGAGACGGGTGTTGATTTACTCTGTATTTAAAAAATGTAGGCATAGAATGTAGTTTTGTTAAAATAGAACAATTAATGTTACCTCGGACATAATTTTTTAATTGGCCTTTAAACTGTAGCTCAACTGAACTGAAATCCCTTGGGGCTTACACAGTTAAAGGTGAAGGCCACAGCAGTAACGTTGAAAAGAGCATTTTAATCCACTACTCAAACACGGTGGCATCATTCCTTTAAATCGTGTAACACATCGAACGTATGCTATTTTGTTGAGTGATAAAATGTGCTGAGATTATGTCGTAAGGCATAATTGGTGTCATGCAATGCAAGCTGTAGTAAAGGAGTAATAAAATGATAAAATAGGTCACTGATTTCTTTTCATCTTACAAATTATTTTCAGAGTTGCTCTTATAATTTGCTTACAATGCTGTGGATGAATTAGGAGATAACACACTGTGTTTTCAAAGTAGATATTTGTTACCTGCATATATAACCGCGCTAAATTGAATTTGGAACCGAACGCGCAACGTGGGGTTTCAATGTTCAATTTAGCGCAGTTAAATCTACAGGTAACCTAGCTCTACATTGAAAACACAGTATGTTCATCTCCATTCTGCCATGACTAAATAAAACGCGAACTATTTGCTGTCAGCAAATATACTGAGTGAAGTGGCATGGGTTGAGTCCAGTATTTTGAGTGGGTTGTCGATCTGAATTACGGAATCAGCGACAACAGCCTGTAAACAAAATATGGCGCTCTATGTTCTCAAGCAGTTTGTTTACACCATAAGACGTAATTCGAGCATATGACAGGCATTGAAAGCTTATAAGCACGGCAACTTGGTCAGCTAACATGAGGTGGGCACGCCTAAAGAAAACTGAGCATGTTTTGCAAAGCTTTCGTTCCACATCGCACGTCACCATTATGACGTCATATAGCTCATTGTGACGCAAAAGGTGTGACGTCACGGTCGAATATAGAGAAACGCCACATTTCAAGCTCTCTGTTCTCCCCAAAGTTAAAATACTTTCTCTTTGACGATTTCTCTCGTGTTTTCTGTACTGCCACACATCCTTTGAATAGTGTAGTAGCCGCAACTTTGCATTTTGTGACCTGTATACTTATTTAAATATGCTTACCGACAATGACTATGAATATTAGCTTCCTCGGTGATGCGGCAGTCAAACCAGCTGTTTCAATCAGAGGGGGGTTATTGTGATTTAATAGCCTCTGATTGGCCAATCAGAATCGAGTAATTTCCAAATTCATGGTAGAACGCAAATTCACAATTATAACCATGATGAAAAATATCAGCAATCCCAATTATTGATGTAGGTATATCAGCATGTACATGGATTCCTCATTAATACTTCAAGGATGACCTGAAATTCATGACATCAGATTCTAACAGTGCACGTTGACTTATTTCGATGATTTACGTTACGTTTATTCTGTTTAGTGTTAGGCCCGAAGTTGGGTTGTTTCTCACGCCGGATGACCGGTTCTATTGCACACATGGGTACAATGTGTGAAGCACATTACTGTTACAACCCAGCTGTGATATTGCTTGGAAATAAACGGCGTTGAACCATATCCAATGGCAATTGTCAGGCCAATTACTTCTTTCCATTTGTATTTAGTGGTCGCAGATATAGACTGAATTACGCGAGTGTCAGTGAGTACGAGACAGTTTGTAGATTCATCATGTTTCCTCCAGATTCTGGAGACCAGGAGTCCGTTTCCGAAGACACACCCAGTGCAGAGGGGAAACATTGGCGACAAGAAGAAGGTAGCTATCTATTAGCGTTTAGCTGATCCGTAACAAAACATATAACGTCCATAACAGCAATCATGACAATACAAAGCTGAGTACATCTGACTGTAACGGTATGTGAGCGAGTGTCTTTCTGCAGTATTTCAGTAAAAGAATGGCACCTCAGCTCCATGTCAGAGCAGGTCGTACGTGTTTGCATGTTTCAGTGAAAACAAAGCGTGGGCATTGTGGTGATAATTCAAATCAGGTCGAATCTTGGTTTGGAAACCCCGATCATTGTAACCTTGCACGACACAAAGGGACGCAACTCTGCACAGTACATTGTGGTGCTTTACAACTCAGTCCCATTACATGGGACACATGTATGCCTTGAATATGTTATAAGTGCACACGTAGAAAATAACTACTTTGAGTTAAAGGAACAGGTACTCACAATATATCCTCTAAGTTGCCACGCCGGTACTATTTCCAGGCCAGCCGCCACACCTGACTTCCAAGTGGGAGGTGGAGGAGGGAAACATGAAGCTGATCTACGTGGACCGGAACAACATGCTGAGTGAAGCCTGTCGAGAAGGGAAGCTGGGCATAGTGAAGAACATCATTGCTACGGGGTCTGTGGACATTACTACCAGAAGCGAGGGTGGCTGGACACCTGTGTAGACTGCAGCAGTTAGAGGTTATAGAAACATATTTGATGTGTTGGTGAAAGAGGGATGTGATTTATCTGCTATACTAGACAATGGCGACAATATTCTTCACGTCGCTTGTTTTGGGGGGAATACTGACATCACCAAATATCTGGTCTCACGTCGTGTAGTCAGTCTGGAGAGTAAAGGAATGTATGGTAGAACGGCTGTGATGAAAGCGGCAAATGTAGGAAACAAAGGTGTGTTTGATCTGCTGGTAAGTAAAGGGTGTAACCTGTCAGTCGTGGATGATGAAGGTAACAACATTCTACATGTTGCATGTCTCAGTGACAATGTACAGATTGTTGACTATCTCATCTCACATGACATAGCTGACATAGAGAGCAGAGGTCAGTATGGGAGAACTGCTGTCATGATGGCAGCAACTAAAGGTAAGAAGAAGGTTTTGGATCTTCTGGTGAGTAAAGGGTGTAACCTGTCAGTAGTGGATAATGAGGGTAACAACATCCTACATGTTGCATGTCTCAGTGACAATGTACAGATTGTTGACTATCTCATCTCACATCACATAGCTGACATAGAGAGCAGAGGTCAGTATAGGAGAACTGCTGTCATGATGGCAGCAACTAAAGGTAAGAAGAAGGTTTTGGATCTTCTGGTGAGTAAAGGGTGTAACCTGTCAGTAGTGGATAATGAGGGTAACAACATCCTACATGTTGCATGTTTCAGTGATAATGTACAGATTGTTGACTATCTCATCTCACGTGACATAGCTGACATAGAGAGCAGAGGTAAGTATGGGAGAACTGCTGTCATGAAGGCAGCATCTCAAGGCCAGAAGAAAGTATTTGATCTCCTGGTGAGTAAAGGGTGTAACCTGTCAGTAGTGGATAATGATGGTGACAACATCCTACATGTTGCATGTCTCAGTGACA